GAAAGAAACCCAAATGCCTTGCCAAGCCCTCCCCATGCTGGGTCCCTGAGCCTGCGCTCTGCCAGGCCGTACCCCTGGGACCAGAGGCCCCCGCCCCCCCACTGCCCCTGCTCCTCCCACTGCCCCCCCACGGCCCCCGCCCCCCACTGCCCCTGCTCCTCCCACTGCCCCCCCACTGCCCCCGCCCCCCACTGCCCCTGCTCCTCCCACTGCCCCCCCACTGCCTCTGCCCACCTCACTGCCCCTGCTCCTCCCACTGCCCCCCCACGGCCCCTGCCCCCCCCACGGCCCCTGCCCCCCCCACGGCCCCTGCCCCCCCACTGCCCCCGCCCCCCCACTGCCCCCGCCCCCCCACTGCCCCTGCTCCTCCCACTGCCCCCCCACGGCCCCTGCCCCCCCACTGCCCCCGCCCCCCCACTGCCCCCGCCCCCCTCACGGCCCCTGCCCCCCTGCTGCCCCCCCACGGCCCCCGCCCCCCCACGGCCCCTGCCCAGGCCTCTTCTTCCTCACTGATTGGCCAGGGGAGATGCCAGGGCCTGAGACCCCAGGATGGCACAGGGGGTGCGGGCGTTCCCTGCCCACGGCCCATGCCCAGGACACTGCCGTCCTCACTCCCGGCACCGCCCTCCGCGGAGCGCTCTGCAGCGGGGGAGGGAGGCTGAGGCCGCACTCCGCGGACTGCCCAGGCCTGGCCCGTAGCTCGGTTGTCCAGGGCATCGTCCCGAGGTGCCAAGGCTTCAGGTTTGATCCCCGATCAGGGTACCTGTGAGAATCATCTCTCTCTCTCTTCCTCTCTCTCTCTCTCTCTCTCTCTCTCTCTCTCTCTCTCCAACCAAAGGACTTCCCACCCTGGCCGATTTGGCTCAGTAGATAGAGCGTCGGCCTGTGGACTAAAGGGTTCTGGGTTCACTCCCGGCCAAGGGCACACGCCCAGGTTGTGGGCTTGATCCCCAGTGGGGGGCGTGCAGGAGGCAACTGATCAATGATTCTAATCATTGATGTTTCTATCTCCCTCTTCATCTCTGACATCAATAAATGTTTCGTGTATTTTTTTTAAAGCGGATTTCCCAGGATCTACTGCAATGGCCGCTGCCCCCCCAAACACGGCACATTTCTGGGGTGGCCCGCACCCCCTTAGGATCCAGGCCCTCTGTCCTCGGTGAGGCTGGGGATACGAGGTCTGGTCTTGTTCTGCTCTTGGCCGCTGGATGAGAAGTCAGCTCCAGGCCTTCCATTAGCCACAAGCTCCCCGCCGTCCAGCTGCTGCTTGTCCTCAAAGAGCGAGTGGCCGGGGGCGCCCTCCCTCTCCACCGGCCTCCGGGCCCATGCAGCCCGGACAGGAAGAGGGGAGGAGGTCGCGCCAGCTCCTCGGGCACTAGGTGCCATGAGGGAGGGGAGGCCGGCTCGGGGACCATCATCCCAGAGCCTCCCGCTGCCCGTCTTCCTGGGCCCTGTGGCTGCACCAGCACGAACGGGGGAAGGCGGAAGCAGGCGCGGAGCAGCCATGTGCGCGCGGCGACGCGCCCCTCAGAGACAGCTGGCTCACTCCTCGGAGCACCCGACCCTGCGGCCCCCACACCACCTGGCGCCTCTGACCCCACGCCCACGCCCAGGAATGGCGCCTGCAGACCGAGGCCTCCGCACCCAGAGAGAAGGCCCAGGAGGGCTCGGGGACGAGAGGGGGCTATGCACAGAGCTGCCGGCTGACAAAACACACCCACACTGAGACACACACACACACACACACGAGTATGCATGTGGCCATGTGATAGCACACACTCTCACACACATGCACAGAGGAGTACACATGTGCTAGCACACACACACAGGAGTACACACGTGGCCATGTGCTGGCACACACTCACATGCACTCACATACAAGCACAGAGGAGTACACACGTGGCCATGTGCTGGCACACTCACATACAAGCACAGAGGAGTACACACGTGGCCATGTGCTGGCACACTCACATACAAGCACAGAGGAGTACACACGTGGCCATGTGCTGGCACACACTCACATGCATGCCCGTGCATGCACAGAGGAGTACACAGACGGCACCCTGGCGATGCACAGCGTGGAGCCAGGCCGGGGACGGGCTCTGGCTGCGGGGAGAGAGGAGGGGGTGGAGAGCCCTCAGAGATGTCAAAACGTTCTGGTTTCACAACGCTGGACCCAGGGCCATCCCGCCGGGTGGAAAGCGGGAGGCGGCCGGGCCAGTGCAGACGGCCACCGGCCACAGCCCAGGCTGGGCACAGGCAGGTGCCCGCCAGCAGGGAGGGAGGGAAGGGCCAGGGGGAAGGGACCGTGGAGCCTCTGCCGGCCCCGCGGGACAGGGAAGGCGGGCAGGCTTCCTTCCCCTGGGGATGGGGGCAGAGAAACTCCTGTGCCCTGCCCCACTCACAGGCTGGCACCTGGCACCGCTTCCACCCCCACCGCCCACCCTGCGCAGAGAGGGGGGGGTTGTCAGGGAATTCCCACCCTGGGCAGGGTGGGTGGGCTCCCGGAGAACCCTGGGACCTTCCTCGGGGGGAGGGGGAGGAAGATGGGCAGGAAGCCACCCTCCCGCCTCCTGGGGAGCGGGCACTGCCGGGCGGGGAGCAGCTCCTCAGCCACTGGCCTTCCGCCCCGAGCCCCAGGGCAGGCCCTGGCCCGAGCGGCCCCTCAGCCAGGCCGCCGCCCCAGGCCCCGGCAGCCACGGTGTGGCCTGGGCGGGCAGCCGGCAGGGCGGCAGGCAGAGGCGCAGATGCCAAACTTGCGCAGCCAGGCGCACTCAACAGGTTGAGCCAGTCCCGGGAACGGCCCCACCCCAGGGAGAGCAGGCCTGGCACAGGCTCAGTGCCCAAGGCACCCAGCCTGTCCCCGCTTGGCCGCCACTTTCCCACGCTGCCATCCCCTCTTCCTGCTCCCTCTGGGCCAGCACCCAGGCAGCTCCCAAAGGAAGGGAAGCTCTTTCCCCATCTCCCTTGGGTGCCCAGCCCCGGAGCACCTCACTATGAGCGCCCCAGGAAGAGCAAACGTGGTGTCAGAGCAGTGAGAACCCCACAGCGCCCCACCTCCTCTCAGGCCCTCACTCAGACATCCTGGCCCCCACAGCTGCCTCCCCCCCCCGGTCCCTGGCACTAGGATGGCATTTGGCACCAAAGGCAGTGTGGGGTGCCCCCAGCCCGCGTCTTGGGCTCCTGATAGAGCTGACATTGCCTGCAAACCCGGTCCTTTCCTTGCCCCCCACTCCTGGGCTCCAGGGAACTCCCTCCCGACCCTCCCCCAGGTGGGCAGCCCCTCTTTGCAGGCATCCCCTTTAATCTAAAGCAGGTGCCAGGCATTACACCCTCTGCTGAGTGGACACCGCCGCCACCCTCCCTCCCCCCACCCCTGCCCAGAATGCTACCCCTGCCTGTTCATGGCCCAGAGCTCCTGCTGCACCCAGGGACCCGGAAGCTGCGAGGCAGGAACTACCCAACGTCAAGGGTGCCCAACACAGATCAAGCACAAGTTCACCAGGTCCCACATCCCCAGTGCTGAGCCGGCCCAGTTCTGAGGACCAGCGATCCTTCCCCGGCCTCTGCAGTTTCTCGCCACTGACTCTCCACCCCAGGCACTCGGCCTCACTCGGAGTCTCCGTATGGACTCCAGGGCCCACCTCCTGCGGCCCGAGCACAGCGACTCTGGGCCCAGAGTGCAGGCGGCCTGGCCCTCACAACCCTCCCAACATTAGCCCCACCCCACCCACAGCCGGAGCAACACAGGTGAGCAGAGCCTCTGGAGGGCTGGTCAGGAGGCTGGCCTTCAGGCCCCACCCCTGGGCGGCAGCATCTTCCTCCCTGGCACCAGACTCCAGACCCTTCACCCCCGCCTCCCCGGCCATCCGCCCCGGCCCCAGGCTTCTCTCAGCGCCGACACCAGACAGGGCCTGAGCACTCCTCCTTCGCCCGGGGCCATGGAATCGCCTCCTGCCCCAGCCCAGGAGCGGCTGCTCCGGGGAAGGCTGAGCTGGCAGAGGCCGGGGAAGCCCACCCAACTCGGACGCCGCCGGCAGCGGCCTGGGCCCCGGGGCTGCAGCGCAGGGGAGCAGCCTCCCGGGTGGGCCCCTTCCCAGGGCGATCAGCGGCGCAGCCCCCTCCCCCACAGCAACTCTTCCCCTCCGAGCGGCTCCCCCAGCCAGGACACAGACATCTACCCCAGCGACAGGCGGGAGGGGGGGGGGGGCAGAGGGAGGAAGGAAGGAAGGGAGGGAGGGAGGGAGGGAGGGAGGGAGGGAGCTGGACAGACAGACAGAAGCTGATCCTGGCTTCACTGTTCCAGAGAGGCAGCCTCAGCCTCCCAGCCCCCGAGGAGCAGCTCCCCTGGCTCCCAGGGGAGAAGGGAGAGGAGACCAAATCCCAGCGGCCCGGACAGACGCTCTCAGCAAGCCCCGGGCAGGCAGACCGCAGTCCGCCCCGAGCAGCCTGAGCTCCCTCCTCTTCCCCACATGCCCGCGGCCACGGCGGGCCGCTTCCCCCAGCGGCGGGGACACCTCCAGGAGCTCTGCTCGCCCACCCTCTCCGCCAAGAACCCCCGGCTGGGAGACCCCGGGCACAGCCCTGCTGCCCCCGGCCGTGCTTGGGGGCAGAGGGTGACCCCAGCGATCCCCAAACCCAATGCACCTCCTTCGGGAGGCTCCCCTAAGGCACGGGGGGGAGGCTGGAACCCACGGGGTGGGGAGGCCGAGGAGGGGACTACAACTCCCAGAAGCCCCCGGGCGGGCGGCCGCTCCAGCTGGCCCCAGGCCGGCCTTGTTCTCCGCTCCGGCGGCGGGGTCCCCGCTGCCCCGAGCCCTCCCCGCTGTGCCCGGGGCTGCCCCCTAGACGGGGGCCCGAGCGAAACCGCCACGGACCCGGGGCGCCCCGCCCGTTACACAGCCCGGGGTGCGTTCCCGAGGGCAAGGAGACTCCGAATGTGCCCCCTCCCCGGCTCGACCCGGGCAGGACCTTCGCCCTCGGCCCTGCCCGCCCCTCACCTCTCGGTCGGGATCCTCACGCCAGGCCGGAGCTGGACGCCATGACCAGGTCCGGGTCGGGGGGTGGGTCGGGGTCCTGCTCGCCAGGCGGAGGCGCGGGGGGCGCAGGAGGCGGTCCTTTGATCCCGGGCACCTGGGTCTCCACACCGGCCCGGCCGGGGCCAGCGTGTCCGGGCCGCCGGGCGCCTAGGTCCCAGCCTCCCGGGCGCGGGGCATGGTCGTGGGCGGCGGGGAGCGTGCCCTCAGTCCCGGTCCCGGTCCCGGGGCTGGGGTCTCTGCCCGAAGCTCAGGGCTCAGCTCCGGCTCCTGCTTCTCCTCCTCTTCCTCCTCCTTCCTTCCTCCCCTCCTTTTTTCCTTCCTTCCTTCCTTCCTTTCTTCCTCCTTCCTTCTTTCCGTCCTTCCTTCCTTCCTTCCTCGCTTCGCTTCCTCCTTTCGCTTTCCCCGCGGCGGCGGGGCGGCGCGGGCGGGGAGCTGTCTGGGCGCTTATTGTTGGCCGCGCGCCGAGGGTCCGGGGCGCAGCCCCCGGGCGGCGCGGCGCGGGGGCCCCCGGGCGCGCGGGCGGCGGGCCGGCGGGCGGCGGGCGGCGGCGGGGGTGCAGCGGCCCCGCGCCCGGGGCATGTCCGGCCTCTGGCTCCGCGCGCGCCGCCTGCCCGGGCTCCGCTGCGCTGCCGGGGCCTGGCCCGCCGCGCTGGCTCCGCTCCGGCCCCAATGCGCTCCGCGCCGGGCGCGCCGGCGGCTCCTGCCTTCATTCCAGAGCCGCGGCCCCTGTCAAAATAAGAGCTCCCCGTCCGCCCGCCGCGCCGGCCTCCCAGCGGCCTGCCTCGGTACGGCGCCGCGCCGGCTGGCGGGAGGCCGGGGGCGGGAGGGGCTGCCGCCCTCTCCCCCTGCCCACAGCCTCCCCGCTGGGGAGAGGGGACGAACCCGCCCCATCCGCGCGATGGGAGGCACAGGGTGCCTGGACTCTCACCCCCACATGCCGGCCCCTCCTGCTCGCAGCACCCACCTCCACACCGCACTGGCATCTCCTGTCCTCGCCTGGAGACCAGGACCTTCCGGAGGACATGGACTGTGTCTTCTTCTCAATCCTCGCACGAAGTGGGTGCTGAGAAAATGTTTGTGGAAGTGAAACCTTGGTCTTCTCCCAACAACTCTCCTCACATCAGTCACACACACACACACACACACACACACACACACACACCCCTATCTGGGAGCAGATGCAATGAAAATGAAGTTGTACTTTTTATTTCACAAACCGTGAGAAAGAAGGTATGCCCATTGCACTGAGGACACTGAAGCCAGCATAGGGAAGGCTGCCTCCGGCTCTCACAGCTGGGAAATGGAGAGCCCAGGACCAGAGTGTGGGTCTCCGTGTCCTAAGGCACTTCCCTGTGTCCCTGCCCTCACCCCCCAGAATAACACCAACAAGTAAGAAGGACGGGCCGTCTCTCCAGTATAAACCTGGTCGCCCCAAAAGATTCTTGAGGGCCCAAACCACGCCTCCTATGCCAGTTAATAACGCAGATTTGTCATCAAAGAAAACACAATAATTTCAAGAGAAACATCGAAAGTGCTTTATTCAAAGTAATGGCCATCGCCAGCTAGGCATTTCCCCATCTTTCAGATAATTCCGTCCCAATAGAACTTTTCTTGTTTTGAGGCAAACCATTCAGAGACCCAATTTTCCACTTCTTGGTACATTTGAAGTGCTGCTCAGACAGTGCGTGTGCCATCGATCGGAACAAGTGGCCATCTGAAGGAACAAGGGCTGGTGAATACAGCGGGTGAGTTCATACTTGCCAAGCAAGATCTTTTTTTTATTTTTTATTTTATTGATTTTTCACAGAGAGAAAGGAAGAGAGATAAAGAGCTAGAAACATGGATGAGAGAGAATCATCCATCAGTCGCTTCTTGCACACCCCCCATTGGGGATGTGCCTGCAACCAAGGTACATGCCCCTGACCGGAATCGAACCTGGGACTCTTCAGTCCGCAGGCCGACGCTCTATCCACTGAGCCAAATCGGTCTCGGCAAGGCAAGATCTTTTAATGAGCCAGTTGGTTTTGAAGTGTGTGATAGTGCGTCATCACGAAACAAAATTACTTTGCCATGTCTTCTGTCCCATTCTCGTGGTTTTATGATGAAAGTATGGTTCAAATTGATTATTTGTTGTCGGGAGCGATCAGTGTTAACGGTTTCACCAAGTTTTAGAAGCTCATATACACCACACCTCCCTGATCCCACCAAAGCAGGGCATTGACTTCTTTCCAATGCGATTTGCAGTCGATGATGGTGACCTGGATCAACCCATGATTTTGTGCATTTGGGATTCTCAAATCCATTTTTCACCGCCAGTCACAATTCGATGCAAAAAAGACTTCCTTTCATGCCGTTGAAGCAATGTTTACTGATGAATTCGGTTTTCCACTTGTCTTTCGTTCAGTTGATGTGGCACACATTTCCTTCCTTTAAAATCCCATTGCTTGTAAACGATTGGAAATTGCTGAGCAACATTTAATCTTTCTGAAAGGTGTTTCTGAGTTTGACAGGCATCTTCATCCAATAATGCTTGTAATCGTTGGTCTTCAAACTTTTTCGGTTGACCTGGATGTTCTTTGTCTCTCACATCAAAATCATCACTTTTAAAAGCATGTAAACCAGCGTTCACAAGTGTCTTGAGATGGAACATGTTCACCAGAAGCTTCCAGAAGTATTCAGCAGCACTTGTCCTCAAAATTAAGTAATGAATTAAAACTCCCCGCAAATGCTCTTTTTTGGGGCATGAAATTCAACATTTTTAAGCGTAAAAATATCTGTGATATTAACACTTTCAGCAAATTTGACATATGAAGTTTTGAAGCTTGCTGTCAATACAACAATATAGTATACGTATCAAATCTCATATATATCATCAATGTGTAGCTCTGTCTGTTGAAAAAAATCCGCATTATTAACTGATACACCTAGTATATTCCCCACGGCATCCAAGTGCTGGGGTCATAGTAGGGCTTCCATAACTTCACCGAGCGTGAATGGGGCCAGCAGCTGGGCCAGTCAGCAAAACATCCCCAGGGTCCACTACCTGCTGCCCAGCACTGAGCAGGGCTGGGGATCGCTCATCACACCCTCTGGGCGCGAACTGGTCCACGTAGAAGAAAGGCAAGCGGGAGCCCAGAGAGGCTGAGCTTGGCTGTGAAGCAATCCTAGGGCCTAGATAGTGCCTGACCCGTGTAATTAGGGTTTAATTTCCTCTCCAAGTCCTGTGGATATATCAGCTACAACCTGGCAGTGTGGCTCAGGGGTTGAGCATTCACCTATGAACCAGGAGGTCAAGGTTTGATTCCAGGTCAGGGCACATGCCCAGGTTGCAGGCTCGATGCCCAGTGTGGGGCATGCAGGAGGCAGCCCATCAGTGATTCTCTCTTACCACTGATGTTTCTATCTCCCTCTCCCTTCCCCTCTAAAATCAATAAAAATATTAAAATAAAAAAACATGAGCGACAAGGCAAGAAGGCCATTTGTCAAACAGAATGCTTGTCATAAGGGTCCAGCCCATGTATGTGGATGGGTCTCCTGTTACATCCATGACAAGCTCCGTGGCTTGTTCTGATCCGTGTAGCACAATGCCCGGTTGCTAGTAGGCTCACGGTACCGTGTCAGTGGGGGAATAGCTGGGTTGCATGGGGTATCAGAAATGTCAGTTCAGAAGGGGTCGGCGTGTTCTGGGGGCAGCCGCGCAGAGCGCTCCGCAGGGGTTGGGGGCTGTGACTCGCTCCCCCGCGCAGGCTCAGGCTGGGATGTGGAGCTGAGTTTGGGGGGCCCCAACTGCTGGGTGGGACCCTGGAGCGCAGAGGGGAGGTGGGAGAGGCCAGGCCCGCGGACGGAGCCGCGCGGCGCCCCCTGCCGGCGGCTCGGGGACCACGCATTCCTGTGCGTCTGAGTCACAGGTGTGTCCGCGCGGCGGTGGAGGTGGCGAGTGCGGACACCTGTTGTGGGGTGCGGGGTGGGTGCCACGAGGCCTGTCTCTGGAAGCCCAGGGTGTGCGCATGCAACTCCATCCGGCCAAGGCTTTCCTCCGGGGCTGGAGGGGAAGGGCGGCGCTGGGGCTGGGGGCCGGGGTGGCGGCCTGCGAGGACCTGGGGCGAGGCCTCCCCGCCCGCGCCTCCCGGACCTCGCGGAGGGAGCGCTGGGCTGGAAGGTATGCGGTTCTAGGAAGCGACCATTTCTTAAAGGAACTAGGGCCCAGGAAAGGGTTAACTCTGCGCCCACAGCGACTCCCGCCATTGGCTCGGGGCTCTGCCAGTCAGACCCTGGGCCGGGCTTGCGGTCCGCCTGCGGGGCGCCGGGCCCGCACTGCCCCCCACTTCCCCGCCCGCCAGGAGCAGAGTTCCGGGCCGGAGGAGGGCCGTGGGCGCCCGGCCCGCTCCCGCCAGCGGCGGCTGCCGGGTGGACGGCGGCGGTTATGTAACCGCCCCGGGCAGGCCGCGCGGGGGAACACGCCGCTCCTCCCGCCGCCCGGCCCGGCCCCGCCGCCCGGAGCCCGCCGCCGGCTCCGCCTCCGCCAGGGCGGGCTCCGGTCCCGGAGGGGGTGCGCCGGCGGGGAGCGGCTGGCACCCAGGCCCGGGGCGCCGCGGAGGGTGGGCGCCGGCACCTCCCGGACCGCGAGGCCGGAGCTGAGGGCCCCGGGGGACGGGGGTCGGGGGACGGGGTCGCGCGGGAAGGGGGCGGCCTGCCGGAGCGGAGGCGGGGGGCGGGGACTCTTATCCTGACAGGGCGCCGCCCCGGAGGCTGGGAAAGCTGCGCCGCGGCCCGCCCTCCGCCTCCGCCCTCCGGCCCCGGGCCGGCGCGGGGCGGGCGCGGGGCGACCCCGGGGCGGGGCCTCTGCGGGGATCGGGGACCGGCCCGGGGCAGGCCCCGGGGAGGGGTTCCCGGCGCTGGCCCCGCGGGTGTCCCCGCTCCTGCGCCGCCCACCGCCTCCTCCGCCCGGGCCGCCCGCGGACTTAACCCCTCCGCGCCGGGACGCCGCCCGCCCCGCCGCAGCGCCTGTAGCCCGGACGCGCTCAGAATGCGGGGTCGGAGCCCTGGGAGGCCGCCTGGGGCCGATGGGCGACCCATACACCGGGCACCAGAGCCGCCCATCCAGTCTTCTCCGGCCCCCGCCCCGCGCCGGTGCCCCCGCCCGCCGCTGTCCCTCCGACGCCCGCCCCCCAACAGGGTCCTGGGGGTCGGGGGGGCCTGGACGTGGGCTCCCGCCGCCCCGCACCCTGCCTGCGAGGCCGGCGCTGGAGACCGCCTCTCCCCTCCGGCCGCCTGCACCCCGGGGGGCACCCACGGAGGCCGGTGAGGCCGGCCCCCAGCCCCAGCGGGACGAGGCCGCGGGGACGGGCCAGGCTGAGTCCCCCGCAGCACGCCTTCCCGCCATTCCTTAGATGATGTGCTTTTATTCATTCCAGAGAGCAAGGGGAGGGGGAGAGGGCGAGGGAGAGAAACGTCCACGAGGGAGAACCACCATCGGCTGCCTCCCGCACGCCCACACCGGGTGGAGCCCGAGCCCTGGCCGGGCCTGACCGGGAGTCCGACCGTGACCTCCTGGCTCCGAGGTCGGCGCTCAAACCCTGAGCCGCCAGGGCCGGCCGCGAGCAGCCCTGCCCTCCAGCCCTGTGAGTGACGGCAGCGGTAACGGAGCTCGGGCTCCGGGGCCAGGTGCCGCCGCCGCTCTGGGCGCCCGCGTGGGCGGCGGAATGACCTCGAGCTGCGCCTGCCCCCTGGTGGCTGGGCGTTGCGTAGCCGCCTCTTGCCGGAGCCGCGAAGGGCTGGGGAGGGACAGCCTCCTCCTCCCGCCCCTTTGGGGGAAGAGCGGCTCTGGAGGGGCAGAGGGAGTGAGGGAGCCCCAGGCCCTGCAGTGCCAGCC